ATTTTAGACAATGTTTTATAGAATAGACTAATAAGGAAAAATTTATAGGCCTAACCAAATCAACAATTCTTGAAGGAGAGATTATAAACGACCCTTCCAAGTGATAAACCTATATGGTGGTTAAGCTTCCTCTATGATAATATAATGGAAGCTAGATAAGTAATCGCGAAAAATATTGTGAGATATTTGTTATAACCTTGTATATTTTTTTATTGGGATTATTGATTTAATTTTAAAATGTTGTTGAAAATTTAAAATAATATTTTTTTTTGTGTTATAAAAATATAAAGAAAATTATCAATATTCGATTTTATTATTTTATAAAGAAAATTAATATTCGATTTTATTATTTTATAAAGAAAATTATCAATATTCGTTTTGTTTTATAAATATATAATAAAAAATTATTGTGTGTGTTAATTTACCTCATTATCAGTTTTTAAGTTATCTCAGTTTAGCAGTCGCAACAATTTGGTGCCGTTTTTAAAAATAAATAAATAAAAAGATACCTACAGTTATTCAGCGGCATAAAGCAAGTATTAATCACTATACGAAAATTACAATAAAGTAAAAATTTGAAGGTGAAGGTAAAATATATTTTTGTATAACTAATTATGACCATAATCACTCTTATATATTTGTTATCGTTAACTAAAGTAAAAATATTTTTAATAAAGGTTTTAATTAATTTTTTGTAATTTTATCTGTTCAAAATTCATAAATTATTATATAAAAATTGAAATATAAAACCAATTTAGTGTTGTTAATCGGCTTAGCCGAGTAGGCTCGAACAGAGCTCACCCAAATTTTGGGTCGTTTTTTTGACTCCAACTCAAAGTTTTTGTCGTTTTTTACGACTCCGACTCAAAATTTGGGTTGTATTTTTCGACTCAAACTTGAAATTTGGGTCGTATTTTTCGACTCAAACTTGAAATTTGGGTCGTATTTTTCGACTCAAACTTGAAATTTGGGTCGTATTTTTCGACTCAAATTTGAAGTTTGGGTCGTATTTTTCGACTTAAACTTGAATTTAGATCGTATTTTTCGACTCCAACTCAAAGTTTGGGTCGTTTTTCTGACTCAGACTCAAACATCGGGTCGTTTTATTCAATCCTACCCAAAATATGGATCTTTGTTTTTAAAGACGACTTAAAGTTAGAGTTGCTTTTTTTCACCCCTAACCCAATATCTAGATCATTTTTTTCGACCAAAGTCAAATAACATTTAGTATATATTAATATTATAGGCGGGAAAGTTACTTAAAGCTTCTTTAAATTATAATGCTCTGATTAACTATTCATCATAGTTATATTTTAAAATTTTTAAGTGAAGATGTACCATAGAAGTGCCATTTGTCATGATGGTTATTTTTGAACTTTTTTAAATGAAATAGATAAAAATATATATTGTAGGCATGTTAAATCAAAATTTCAGTGATGTTGTACCATAGATAAGTGGTAATTGTCATAATCGCTATTTTTGAACTTTTTTGAGTTTTTTTAAAGCAAATTGCTAAAAATATATATTCTAAACATGTTAAATTAAAAATTCAGTGAGGATGTATCATAGATAGGTGACAATTGTCATAATCGCTATTTTTGAACTTTTTCAAATTTTTTTAAAGGAAATAGCTAAAAATATATATTCTAAACATGTTAAATTAAAAATTTAGTGAGGATGTATCATAGATAGGTGACAATTGTCATAATCGCTATTTTTGAACTTTTTCAAATTTTTTTAAAGGAAATATCTAAAAATATATATTCTAAACATGTTAGATTAAAAATTCAGTGAGGATGTATCATAGATAGGTGACAATTGTCATAATCGCTATTTTTGAACTTTTTCAAATTTCTTTAAAGGAAATATAAAAATATATATTCTAAACATGTTAAATTAAAAATTCAGTGAGGATGTATCATAGATAGGTGACAATTGTCATAATCGCTATTTTTGAACTTTTTCAAATTTTTTTAAAGGAAATAGCTAAAAATATATATTCTAAACATGTTAAATTTAAAATTCAGGGAGGATGTATCATATATAGGTGACAATTGTCATAATCTATTTTTGAACTTTTTCAAATTTTTTTAAAGGAAATAGCTAAATATATATATTCTAAGCATGTTAAATTAAAAATTCAGTGAGAATGTATCATAGATAGGTGAAAATTGTCATAATCACTATTTTTGAACTTTTTCAAATTTTTTTAAAGGAAATATCTAAAAATATATATTTTCTAAACATGTTAAATTAAAAATTCAGTGAGGATGTATCATAGATAGGTGACAATTGTCATAATCGCTATTTTTGAACTTTTTTTAAAGGAAATAACTAAAAATATATATTCTAAACATGTTAAAGTCACCTATCTATGATATATCCTCACTGAATTTTTAATTTAACATGTTTAGAATATATATTTTTAGATATTTCCTTTAAAAAATTTGAAAAAGTTCAAAAATAGGGATTATGACAATTGTCACCTTTCTATGATACATCCTCACTGAATTTTTAATTTAACATGTTTAGAATATATATTTTTAGATATTTCCTTTAAAAAAATTTGAAAAAGTTCAAAAATAGCGATTATGACAATTGTCACCTATCTATGATACATCCTCACTGAATTTTTAATTTAACATGTTTAGAATATATATTTTTAGCTATTTCCTTTAAAAAAATTTGAAAAAGTTCAAAAATAGCGATTATGACAATTGTCACCTATATATGATACATCCTCACTGAATTTTAAATTTAACATGTTTAGAATATATATTTTTAGCTATTTCCTTTAAAAAAATTTGAAAAAGTTCAAAAATAGCGATTATGACAATTGTCACCTATCTATGATACATCCTCACTGAATTTTTAATTTAACATGTTTAGAATATATATTTTCATATTTCCTTTAAAAAAATTTGAAAAAGTTCAAAAATAGCGATTATGACAATTGTCACCTATCTATGATACATCCTCACTGAATTTTTAATCTAACATGTTTAGAATATATATTTTTAGATATTTCCTTTAAAAAAATTAGAAAAAGTTCAAAAATAGCGATGGTGACAATTGTCACCTATATATGATACATCCTCACTGAATTTTAAATTTAACATGTTTAGAATATATATTTTTAGCTATTTCCTTTAAAAAAATTTGAAAAAGTTCAAAAATAGCGATTATGACAATTGTCACCTATCTATGATACATCCTCACTGAATTTTTAATTTAACATGTTTAGAAAATATATTTTTTAGATATTTCCTTTAAAAAAATTTGAAAAAGTTCAAAAATAGCGATTATGACAATTGTCACCTATCTATGATACATTCTCACTGAATTTTTAATTTAACATGCTTAGAATATATATTTTTAGCTATTTCCTTTAAAAAAATTAGAAAAAGTTTAAAAATAGCGATTATGACAATTGTCACCTATCTATGATACATCCTCACTGAATTTTTAATTTAACATGTTTAGAATATATATTTTTAGATATTTCCTTTAAAAAAATTTGAAAACGTTCAAAAATAGCGATTATGACAATTGTTACCTATCTATGATACATCCTCACTGAATTTTTAATTCATGTTTAGAATATATATTTTTAGCTATTTCCTTTAAAAAAATTTGAAAAAGTTCAAAAATAGCGATTATGACAATTGTCACCTATCTATGATACATCCTCACTGAATTTTTAATTTAACATGTCTACAATATATATTTTTATCTATTTCATTTAAAAAAGTTCAAAAATAACCATGACAAATGGCACTCCTATGGTACATCTTCACTTAAAAATTTTAAAATATAACTATGATGAATAGTTAATCAGAGCATTATAATTTAAAGAAGCTTTAAGTAACTTTCCCGCCTATAATATTAATATATACTAAATGTTATTTGACTTTTGGTCGAAAAAATCTAGATATTGGGTTAGGGGTGAAAAAAAGCAACCCTAACTTTAAGTCGTCTTTAAAAAAAAAAGATCCATATTTTGGGTCGGATTGAATAAAACGACCCGATGTTTGAGTCTGAGTCAGAAAAACGACCCAAACTTTGAGTTGGAGTCGAAAAATACGATCTAAACTTCAAGTTTGAGTCGAAAAATATGACCCAAACTTCAAGTTTGAGTCGAAAAATACGACCCAAATTTCAAGTTTGAGTCGAAAAATACAACCCAAATTTTGAGCCGGAGTCGTAAAAAACGACCCATATTTTGGGTCGAAGTCGAAAAAAACGACCCAAACATTGAGTCGGAGTCGAATAAAACGACCCGAGCTTTGGGTAGGGGTCGCGACTCGCGGCGTTTTAACAACACTAAACCAATTACGAAGGACTACTAATAAAATATATAAAAATTGAAGTATAAAAAAAATAACCATGTTTAATCGTAAACAAAATATAAAAACGTTTAAATATGTAGAATGTAGTAATAATTATTTTTATGTAATTGTAATTGTACTAAATAGATTAATTTATATATGGAGAAGAAATATATTAAAGAATATATTAAAGAAAGTTATAATGAATAAAATAATTGATGAAAGGGAAAAAATTATTGATGATATATCTAAATTTAAAGATGAAATAATGGAAATATGGAAAGCAAATATCATTAGCGATATTAAAAAAGAAATTAATATCGTTAGAGATACTGTAGTAGAAAATAAATTTGAAAAATTTATGTTGGAAATGGATAAAATTAAAAGAAAAATAGAAGAAGAAGAAAAAAAATAAAGGGATCGGAAAAAGTAAAATAATAAATAATAATGAAATAGAAAAATTTTAAATGGGAATTAAAAAAGTAATAATAAATGAATTAGAAAAATTAAAATTAGAAATAGTAAGAAATGAAAAAGAAAAGGAAGAAATAAAAAAAAGGAAATTGAGGGAATAAGGAAGATATTAAGAGAAGATATTGAACGTAAAAAAAGGGAAGAAGAAGAAATAGAAAATAAAAAGAAAGAAGAAATGGAAAAAGTTGAGGTAAAAAAATGGAGAAGGAAATTTTTAAATTGGAAGTAGAAAAAATGAGAATAAAAATAAAAGAAATAGAGGAACAAATTAAAAAGCAGAAAAATGAATCTGAACATATTTATGACGATAATAAAAGAGGGAATATTTATCAAAAAGAAGAGGGCAGAAATCGACAGATAATAAGGGGGCCAAATGGACCATGTTTTATTTGCGGAAAATATGGACATATAAACCGAGATTGTAATGAAAGAATTGTGCAGAAAACTCTTTCAATTGTTTGTGGAAGATGTGGAAATACTGGTCACAATGCCGAAAAATGTTATGTGTCAACTTTGAAAATACAGGAAAACGAACGAAAGGTAACGTCATGTTCAAATTGTGGAAGAACAGGTCATACTTTGGATAAATGTTTCAGAAGGGAACAAACAGGTATCAATGCGTTTCCATCGGTTGCGTTTCCACTTGTTAAAAAAGGATTACCAGGAACGAATATTAAAAATGAATATAATGATGTAATACCTAAAGAAACGAAAAATGAAGGAAATAATGCTCAAGTAATAACTTGTTTTCGGTGTAGAAATATCGAACATTATGCGAGGGATTGTATTATAGTATGACTGTATGATAGTGAAAAAACAACATTTGGGGTTATTACATCGGAAAACCCATTAAATCAAAAGAGCGAATTAATACCGAAAAATACATTAAGATTTAAAAATAAATTGGGAATCAAAATAAAAGAAGAAATAAGTAATAATGATTGGGTTAAATAAAGAAAATGAGCAGCCCAAATCAAACGTTCAAATTTGTAATATGCCAATTTTAGTGATGTAAAGAAGTTTATAAATTATGGCCTAATCAAATAATAAATGATAAAATAATAGTAAAACAATTAAATGGAACTGGAAGGGAATTTACCGGTATTAATTAAAGGGACAGTGTATTTTTTGGATCTTTGGATACTTAAGGAAGAAATTGGTGCGATTATGGGTTGGGCTTGGATATCAAAATTTGGGTTAGAGAATAATTTTTGGGATATGTTTCAGGTAAAAAATAGAGTTAATGAAAATATTGAAATACCAAAAATGACCGTAGAGGGGTTGAATATTAAAAACGTAGAAAATAAATTGGTAAAAAATATGATGTCAGAAAATATTAAAATTAAAAATTTGATGAATAATAATGAGGAAATTAAAGAAATTCATAATTTGGAATTAGATGTTGTTTCAAAAACTGATGATGATTTTAAAAATATGGAGATTAAAAATGAAATAATGAACGAAGAAATCAAATTAGAATGCAATGAGAGAAGTATAAAGAATGGAGAAATTGTTTTTGTGGAAAATAAAGTTAAAGGGTATTGATAAAAGTGAAAATTTAGTAGATAATATTTTGGAAATTACGGGAAATGTAAAATTAATAAGTGGGGAAATTGATCAAGTTTTTCTGAAATTGTAAATATAATTGCAATGAAAATTATAATAATGAAATGGATAAAATTTTGGATTTGAAAATCGATAATGTTTTGTAAGCTAATGTTGAGGATTTTAAGTTGGAAATTGATAATAAGGTATTTGAAGAAGAATCCGAGCTAGAAAATATTTATATAAAATGTGATAAATTGTATAAAGAATCAAATTTAGGGCAGGAAAAATTGCCTGTATCACTAAAATTCCCGGCGAAATTTGTAAGAAAAAGATGGAAAACGAAGATTTGTTAAAAGAAAAAGTGTCACATGAAAATTTAGAAAAGTTACGAAATATGGTGATGAATTTAGGGGTTAAATATGAAGAAATTTTTGAGGAAAAATTGGGATGTGTGGTGGATTATGAAGTAGATATACTTTTAAAAGATGGATATATACCAAGGTATTGTGCAGTTCGCAGGGTACCTTTCGAATGGAGGGCCGAAATGGAAAATGAATTAAATAATTGGTAATGAGATTTGTCCTATTGGATATAGTGAATGGGCAACACCATTAGTTTCGGTGAGGAAGGCCAATGGAAAGTTGTGAAATTGTGCTGATTTTCGCGTTACTCTTAATCCATGGGTAGTTGAAGTAAAATACCCGTTACCAAGAATTGAAGAAATTTTAGCAAAGGGGAAAAATATTTTTCTAAGATAGATTTTTCATGTGCATATTTGCAATTACCTATGAAAGAATGTACAAGGAAATTATTGACAATAACAACGTTTAAAGGATTATTTACTTTTTGTCGGTTACCATTTGGGTTAAGTATTTCAGCTCCAATTTTTGAGCGCACTATGGCGGCAGTTTTCAGGGTTTGGAAGAAATTTTTTATTATATGGACGATGTTTTAGTGATGGGAGTAACGGTTGAGCCACACAATCAGAGATTGGAGGAAGTTTTCATAAGAATCAGAGATAAAGGTTTAAAAGCGAATCGTGAAAAGAGTGTTATGGGAGTAACTGAAGTTACATATTTGGGACATAAAATAAATGGGACAGAAATAAGGCCCTTAGATAAAAATTTAATGAGTATTGCAAATATGAATAAACCGACTACGACAGAGGTACAATTATTTTTGGGTAGGGTGAATTATTATCATCGTTTTATAGAAGATTTTGCTAAATTGGCTGCGCCATTATATGAATTATTAAAGAAAAATGTACATTTTGAATGGAAAAATGAACAAGAATTGGCGTTTATGGCATTGAAATTGAAAGTGGGAAAAGAACCCATTTTCGTATGTTTTAATAATGAATTGGAAATGATTTTAGCGGTAGAAAAAAGGTGTGGGTGGAGCATTGTTATATTTAATGGACGGATTTGAGAGACCTGTTTTATTTTTTTCGAGAGTATTTCGGGATGTAGAAACACGGTATTCGGTGATTGAACAAGAGGCATTAGCTGTTATTTTCGGTCTTAAAAAATGTCGGGAATATTTAATTGGTAGGAAAAAATTTGTAGTATACACAGACCATAAGCCGTTAATTTATTTATTTAAGGAGAGAATTGTTGATTTCACATAGACTTCAACGGTGGTTATTATTAGTGGGTAGTTTTGATTTGGAATTAAGGTATAGGCAAGGAAAAGAAAATCATTTACCAGATATTATATCGAGATTGGGAGTTGGTGAAGAGACCGATGAGAAACTATCAGGTCAAGATAGGAAAGGTGAAGCAGCCTTAATCTATGCTTTAACTTGTGGTTTACGGGTCCCACCACATGAGAGGATATTAGAAATTATACGTTAAAAGAAAAGAAAATGAAATTGCAAATAACGGGAAAAAAACCATGGGAAGCCGGTGAAATTTAAATGTATTTAAACTGAGTTAACGGTGGTAGACGGTTGCATTATGAGAGAGCATAGGGCTATTATACCGAGTCAACTGAGAGACAAAGTTCTGAAAATATTACATGCGGGACATAAAGGGATTTCGCGAATGAAACAGTGGGGAAGGGAATGTTTGGTGGCCTGGAATGAATGGGGAAATTGAAAAAATTGTGAAGTCTGTAACGCATGGACAAATATGACATGTCGGGATAAGAAAAGTGTTTGGCCGAAAGTAAATAAGGCTTGGGAAAGGGATTTTTTTGAGTATAATGATAAAAATTTATTTTAAGTGTAGATGCCTTTTCAAGGTAGATTGAATTTGAAGAGGTACATGGTTTAACTACGTGTTATTAAACATTTAAAGAAATTATGGTCTAGATTCGGTATTCCGAAATGGGTGATTTCAGATGGTGGTCCGGAATTCGTGAGTGAAATGTTAGGAAGTTTTTGTTTGAAAAATAATGTGCATAGCATCAACGTATCACCCTAGTTCTAACGGACAGGCAGAAAGATTGGTGGTGTTGTAGTTTTGTATTATTATGATATATATTTGTACTTATATATTATAAAATGTCAATCAAAAAGAATATATTTTATTTATTATTTATTTTATCGAGAATTGATATTCAAACACTTGGTATTTTTTTGTTTTACTTTTTTACTTTTGACTTTTGATAAATATATTATACGAGATAAATTTTAATGTTCATGTTTTATGGAAATATGAAAATTATTTTAATTTGATGTTAATAATTTGATTCAGTCGGGGATTTTATAAAATGAAGAATATGGAATTGATTTTTTGAAATATATTGTGAAACAAATTATATTATTATGAGATTTTGATTGTGAAAATTGAAATATATTTTGAATAAAGAAATTCTTGGAAAATATTATTTAAATTCTTGGAAATTAATATATTTACATTTAAAATATTGGTGCAGTGGTACCAGGATTCGTTAACACTTATTAGGGAAAAAATAAGTTTGAGAAAAATATAAAAATTGAAATATTTAGAGAAAAAAAAATAAAACAAGAGAGTTTTATAAAAATAAATTTCAGACGTTATTAATCAAGAAAAATATTTTCTAGACTGGGTTCCTAAAAACATTAGTGGATTCCGGATATTTAAAGGTAAGAAATTTATTTTTATATTATAAATTACACAACGCAATAGTAGGATTTTTGGATTAAAATTAGAAATATATAAGATAAAATTTTAAATTTTGGATAATTAATGAAAAAATGGCTTTTTATTTTAATGATAATTATAATAAGCATAATATTAATAAAATGTCAAATTTTAAGAGTAATTTTAATAAAATTTTTAATTCAAATTTTAATAAAGTGGATATGACAAATAATGTCATTACTGCATTAATTTTTTTTGTGTTTTATGTAATCTTAATTATAATGAAACAATTAATAAGGAAAATAAAAAGAAGATCTCTTAAAAATAGAGAAAGTGATATAAAAAATACAAATACTGAAAATATAATTCCTAAAGTTTTGGTGAAATCTTCAGATATTAATGAAGATATAAAAAATAGTTTACATTTAATTTTGTTAGAATTAAAAAATTTAAATGTTAAAAAAAATGTTGAAGAAAAAAATGATAAAAATTTAGATACGAGTGACGTATTTAAATTTCTTCAAAACATTGAAATATCGGAGGATATCAATAAAAAAATAGATTCAATTGTGATTGAATTTAAAGAGAAAATTTCTGAAATTTTGAGTAAAAAGCCAGAAGAAATTTTGAAAAATAATAAAACAGATAATACTTTGAGACAAAGTATCGACGAATCTATAATTTTACGTGAAATTAGAGAAATGAAAGAAAATATGAAAAATTTGTTCAGAGAAGTTTCCAACTTAAAAATCAAAAGTAATAATGTGATAGAAAGTTGTGAACTTTGTGGAAGAAGAGGACATATCGGTAAAAATTGTTATTCAAGAGACCGAAAAATAAATGAGAATGGTAATGCAAAACCAAGTGAAAAAAATGACATAGTGTGTCATAGATGTGGTTTTATAGGACATATAAAAAGAAATTGCATGGTGAAAGAAGCCAATTTTAAAAGTGGATTTCCGCAAAGAACCTCGGTAGTGTTACAACCGGTGGTTAGAAATATACAAAATCCTATTATTAAAAATGTGGATAAAATTGAAAATTATAATACAGATCATGATAGAATGTGTTTCAAATGTGAAGAAATGGGACATATTGCTATACATTGTATTCAAAGTGTGAGTGGGTCACAGTGACTAAATGATTTGAAAGAGAATCATATAAAAATAGATAAATTAATTTTTG